GCCGATACGGAGCCGCGGAAGACTTAACGGGTTGCCAGGGCTCCGGCTCGAAGTGCAGGAGTAGGAACGGGGTGGTTTTTAGTCAGTAAAAGTCTGACACTTCCTCCCGCCTCACCCGGGCGGCAGAAGTCATTGGATGATTTTCCCCCCTCAAAAAAAAAAAGGAGACAGCCAAATAATCACATCTGCTGATCAAAGAGGAGAAGGTTCGAGTATTAATCACCACGCTTGCTCAATGCGGGTTGGTGATTTCAACCTTATAATTAGAAATTATAAGTCCAGGTTTCCTCACGACGGTTCGCTTCACCGTTTGTGGGCTGAATTAAGTAGAAATTATGTAGAACTCGAAAAAAGTCAGCCAAATAATAAACAGTAAATAAAAATACAAACAAAACCTATGACAGGTAATACGGTCGTTGACGGTACAACCGTTCACATGATATATTGTCCTAGCATTCCTATGAAGTACCATACCCTCATAACAATGAGGCCCATCCATTACCTACGAACATCAATCAGCTAGCTTTCCTGACATAAACACATTTAATTCGCTTTCCACCTTCGAAGTAAAAAACTAATCATCTTATTATATTCCATGGGAAGTTCCTTAAAAAAAATGGCCACCTTTAAAAAATCACCAGTGTAAATAATAGGGGTTACCTTTTTTAAACTGTCAAACACCAAGCGGTCACCGGTGACCGCAACCTATTGTTCTATAATTGTGTCTACAAAACCGGTACTCGACGAGTTAAGGGGGGAAAAGTATCGAATGACTTCTCCCACCTGGGTGAGGCGGGAGGGAGTGTCAGACTCTTACTGACTAAAAACCACACCATTCCTACTCCTGCGCTTCGAGCCGGAGCCCCGGTAACCCGTTAGGTTTTCCACGAAAGGGGTTTCCTTTGGAGTATAACAAGCCTAACAAACTTTGGTATGAGATTCTTGATTTAATAATAGACAGAGATTTTAAATTATGATTTTTTTTTAATTGTTTGATCATTATAAACTGCCGTACTCGGAGTCATTTAATGATTAACCCAAGGGGACAAATGTCCTGTAGCACGATGTTGCCATACTTCGGTCGACATATCTGGCAACATCGCGCAACACGGGTCTATAGCGACGTTGATAACACGTCAGTTCACGTCGGTTTTTTGTGGCGCCGTGGTATAACTCCAGTCGATCCCGAATCCCCAAGAGACCGCTAACATATTTCTATGGTGTTGCGGGTATCTATGGGCGGTGCCGATTGATTACCATCGGGTGACCCGTCAGCCCATTTGCCGACCTATTGCCGACATATACACCTTAAACACCATGGGGGTCACCGCTAAACAATGTTAGCGAAGGATTTACCTTCAACAACTTTCTATTGGTAGTCAAAGGCTTGATAAAAACTGAAAGACCTTGTTACCGTCAAAATATGAAGAAAAATAATTAGAAAACTAAAGTCGGTTCACAAAACACACAAAGTTTTCCTTTACCTTTGAAAATTTAATCTAAAATCGTTGTTACTGAGTTGTGAGACGAGTCGAGAATGTCTCACAGATAATTATAGACTACGCGCTTTAATGATTTACGCTGTAAAAGTAAACTTTCTGTTGCTTCTACTATTACTAAATAGAAGTGAGTTTTTATAAAAGGATCTGGAAAAACCTAGAACTCTTTTTAGCTTTCTTAACATTGATATCTCGCGACTGTCCTTTACAGGGCTTTGGAGACTCCTCTACCTTTATGAAAGGGTTTGTCATATTATCCACGGGTTTATCAAAGTTTCAAAGACTCAGGTATAGAAAGAAATAGCAGTCGGAAATAGAATTTTCATTATCTAGATTAACGTACTTGGTAGTAAGTACAAATACAATAACACAAATGTCTACTAGTAAGTAGTAGAACAAAATTAAACAACTTTAACAAGGGCCTAACAAAGGTCAGTACTACACTAAACATTTTAATTTAAATCGTAGAAGCCGAAATGAAACGCTATTCTTCTGGAATCAAATCGAAATTATTCATTTCTCTTTCATTATAATACGAAATCTCGCAATATACAAACAAACGTTCATTAATTTTAACATTTTATTCACCAAGATATTGAAACAATGCATAAAGGATCTTAGCTGATTGCGAAAGAAATAATACAAAAAAGAGTCTGTACCTAAAATGACGTTCATTGGACAAAAACCGAACAAAATTTCATTTAAATATTGCATGAAAATATAGATACGTCTCTAAAAATGATAAGCTTTATGAAAATTTTAAATCGCAGGTCCATATCAGGTCCTCGGTTCCCCAACTCCTAGGGGACAAATAATTTTCTATAACGGTCAAATTGTACCGAAAATTTCAACTTCGCTCTCAATGTTTATTCGAATTTATGCCGACGCTATCTGGGGTCTCATAAAAGTATTTTATATTTTTTAAATTGCATTTTAAAGTGCTTTGAACTGTATCTAAGTACCTATGTTGCATTGCACCAATGTCTAAAATGAACTAAATATTAAAAGTATTAAAATATTTGTGCAAGTATTAATTATATTGACAGTAACCTGTTAACCATGCTTGTGTATAATTGAGTAAGCATAGCATCTTTACTTTTAATAATAATAAGCAAAACAAATCACTGAATGGATCAAGCCAATTTGATTGCGAATATGATTTTGACTAATTTTGATTTTGACAAATGTTACCTACATAAATCACATTTCTTTTATAGATTTAAATATTCACATTTATTATAAATGTGAAAGTATCTTGTTTGGATGTTTGTCCGTCAATCACGCTGAAACTACTGAACGGATTTTTAGGAAATTTGGTATACAGGCAGGGTTTTTTTTTGTAGGGGGGTGAAAATCATTGAATCACTGCCTTGGTGAGGCGGAAGGGAGTGCCAGACTCTTACTGACTAAAAACCACCCCGTTCCTTCTCCTGCACCTCGAGCCGGAGCCCCGGTTACCCGTTAGGTTCTCCGCGACTATACAGGCAGGGTAGGGGCGGACTTAGGTGACAAGATAGTTGTTTTTTTCCCAATTAAATGCTCCTATGGGATGAAACAGGGATCATATTCTACGCGGACGAAGCCGCAGGCAATAACATAATTTTGGTTAGTATTGCGTGTTACGGAGCCGCGGAGAACTAATCGGGTTACCGGGGCTCCGGCTCGAAGTGCAGGAGTAGGAACGGGTTGGTTTTTAGTCAGTAAGAGTCTGACAGGCGGAACATTCCATAATTTTCCCCCTTAAGAAAAAACTACCTATGTATATACATAATAACTTCAGAAAATGATACATGATAGACTGCGTTTACTCGTTATACCTATAATATTGTCTCACGGCGCCATCTTTAATTGTCACTAGCTTCAATCGACACAAGTATCGGCTGTGTCCACGGCGAGAAGCAATCAGTCTCTGAAGTGCTGACCACACAGACACTTGGTAAAGCACTAGTCCATGTAAACGTTATTACAGGAACTAAACTATATATCAGATAACATAACAAACATTACACTGCAAGTATTTTGACAATTTGTCAACTGAGTGTAATGAGACAAATTGAGCTATCTAATAGCTTATGCTACGAAGTTTTTGAATAGTGAGATAAATAGTAGTAAATATTTGGGTACAATATTTTATCCAAAAAGTACCATAGCAACAAAATATGCTAAATTTTGAGTAAGTTTGCTTCGCGTACCATGATGATAAAATATTAAAGTAGACCGTGCAATCTAACACCTTGAATATTAACGAACACAATAATATATATATATTTAAGGATAGACGGACGGAATCTTCTCCACATTTAACTGTGCAACAAAGACTACGAAGTTTCTGGAAACGTCGAAAAAATCTAAATATCTCAACACAAACCAAACTAAAATAAAGCCTAAACGATATCAACATTACGAGGTAGACAATAAATTGTCTACTATTAGGAAAAAGGACGCTATCACTCAAGTGTAGAGCAAAAAATATTCAACAAAAAGCATCTACAATGGCACAATATAATTTATCTACACCACTGTGTATATAAAGGTATAAGAAACCAGTATATCTTGGTCTCGTTTTGTGTGATCATTTCGCACATTCAATGGTTAGTTTATACTGGTTAATAGCAGCTGGATGTGTCGTATATACGGAGAGAATACCTCTAGTATCGTGGGTGGAGCAAAAGTGAGGATAATAGGTTCGATCGCGTGGGCAGACATACCCATTTATCCTCTGATTAAATTATGATTTCATACAAACATCATTAATCGTAGTTAGTTCTGAGACTACGTATAATCAAGGACTGACGTCAAAGAATTTGTACAAGAAATGTAGGCGATCTATAAAAATGTGTTGATCCACAATTGAGCTGTTACAATTTTTAGTATTACAAGCCACTATAATACTATTGACACTAAATTATTTGTATATAAATGTGCGAAGACCACGGACAAAATTCTAATGCAGTTGAGAATTGAACTCAAGACCAAATAAGCTACAAACGAAGGTGATGAAGAGGATTTTGTGGAAATAGATTTGAAGATTGAGTTTAAACGTCGAAGTGTTTCTTAATTACACCAGCAGTAGATTTTAAGTTCATGTTATGAAAAGGAGACAAATATTTGAATTAGCTTTCAACATATGAACCTACTTGTAATACTGGCTGTACGACTTTGTCAGCTACATTTTATACTCTAGTTGGACATGAAAATGTTGAAATGGAAATGCATCAACTCGAATTTTGTCCATACAACAAATTGAATGCATTCAATATGTTGCAACAAGATGTACATGAACGAGAATGTTTACGTAGAGTCAAGAACCTTTGCTGAAGATATTTTACGTAGATTGAATTCGTAGATACTTTAAAAGGAAATATTTTGAGAAATCCATTAGATTTTTTGCAGAAAGCGAAAATGAATTATTTTTTGTTACTTACGAATTATTCAATAAATATACGTTTACTATGCCAATATATGGGGAAAAAACTTGTATAAACGCAAAATCTGACTTACCATCATAAACAACTCCTCGAACTAGCTCGTCTGTCTCGAACACCGGATGGCTAAGCGTCAGATTAACGTCACTATCATTATCACTGAGCGTGACAATATCGTCACTGTCACTCGGGATCCTCGCGAAGGCACAAGCATCACTGATATCCACCGTTCTTTCACTCACTACTTCACTCACCGTCGTAACTTCCACTTCTTCACTAGTCGTTGTTTCATCATACACTTCTCCAACTTCTATAACCTTATCATCCGTTGAAACCTCTTTGTCCTCTAACTCAGGTGGACCTGGCGACCTCCCTGGAGCAGGGTCACCATTCGGTAAACTCAATGTCGAGCTATAAGGCAACAAAGCTAAGATGGCTATCGTCATAAGAAAATGTATTGAGATTCTGTTCATTTTGAATTTGGTCGGTTTTCTCATGTTCCCCTGCACCGTTTGACATTGCATTGGTTTTCGATACTTGGACATGAGATGGTTGCTTATTGACATTTTATGTGGAGTTTATGACATTGCTCGGTTTTGGTATGAGCGCTGCACTGTGGTCTGCCTCGTTCATGTTTTCGTTTTTGAATTATCTGTAAAAGAAAAAAATATATTAGTAAATTAAAAAAATAGAAAAAAATATATTAGTAAATATATTAGTAAAACAAGGGACCTCACATAACATTATGGGATGTAAAATAAAAAATACCGTATAATCTTTATTATACATTAATCTTGTGAATATTGAAATTGGGATTTTTTACAATTGAAGTGGTAAGTATAAGATACGAAAGATACTATAAAAGAGACCTGTTTTGAATACCATTGATGTCTTACTATAAAAATTAAACCTATATTATCAATTAACATTTAATCAACAGTTATATTATAGTCTGTATATCAATTTATGCCTTTCAAACCAAACACATCTAGAGGTACAATAGTTAAATTTTCAAAAGCATTTGGTACAGAGTTGAAAGAGATAAGCATTCGACAGGCGTCACTCTCGGTTGAGTAGACAGTTACATCGATTACCGATCTAATTACTTGCTTTACTGAGAACAAAGTATCTGTGCCTTGATCTGACGTAATCATTAATTATTCATCTTAGCTCCTACTCAAATCTTCATATTTATAATGATCATACATCAACTAGTTGCATATGTTTTTTAGTTATAATTGAAATGGTTTTACAGTTTTGGATCCAGATAGGTTCTACGGTCTACATTAAAATTGTTATTTTACATTAAGTTAATGAACATTTCTGCATTAAGTTAATGAACACAACTAGATTTTCAAAATCGCTGTAGGTACACCGTATTTTACAGGAGTCGGTGAAGATGAGCAGCACCTTAAATGTGTCCAAATATGTTCATCAACTTTTGGTGCCTACATTATATTCCAAAACTACAACCAGCTATCTATTGGCGAGCAGCATCCTGTAGCATCTTCTAAGTTTTTAATAACCTGACTAAACACAGTTAAAGAACACCCTAAATCACTCACCAAGCTTGGGGATTATGGGATGTCCTGAAAAGGCCTTCGTTATGCAATTACTTAACGTTTTCTAGCTGAAGATGACAATTACTTTTTTTGCTAAATCTTCTAATGCAATCATCTTATACTAGGCATCTAAACCCATTTTTCAAGAAGCCTACTAACACACAAATAATATTTCATGCACTTGATCCCAGATTTGTGCTAACCTATTTTGAAAGATATCCACCTGATTGGAAAAAGGTAACGTGAATATATTTAAGTGTTTTTATAGTACCTGTTCCTGTGTTTGGCTCAGTCACGTAACTCTTTGACGAGGAACTCGACTGGTTTTAACCATACTATAGGCTCATATTCATTAGTAGCGTTCCGCGACACACGGCGCGGTGACTGTCGCGCTACTTAACTGAGTCCTTCGTCAAACAGTTACGAGAGTACCTAAGCCAAAACAGATAATAATTTATTTAGTATTTCTCACACAAGATATTTATGTTTGTTTTAGAACAATACTGGCCGGAGTTTCGTTATTTCATCATCATCATTGTCGGTACACGGAAAATGTCTACTGCTGGAGAAAGCCCTCCCCCTTGGTCGCCTTAGGGAGGAGGCTCCCTCAGTATAGTTATTTATTGTTAAAAACCGCCTCATTGACCGAGTGGTCGCAAGTGCGGCAATGGGTCTCGGGTTCGATTCCCGGGTCGGGCAAAGTATTACTGTGTTTTAATAAAAATCTCAGTAGTAGCATGGAGTCTGTAAATGTGCCCGGTATATGGCAATAAGCTCACCCCCTATTATAATGGACTCATAACATTAAGAGTGAAAAGTGGGTGTTACATTGTAGGTACAATGGCATTAAGTGCATAATGTGCACCTCTGCCTTTCCCATCGGGGATAAAAGGCGTGATGTTTTGTTATTTTATAGTCACAAAAAGTTCATTATCAACAATCACCCATTGCAACCAATCTCTTGAATAACAGTCACAATCAAAATAAATAAACAACATTTCGACCATGCACAAACGCACTTAAGGGGAATCTGAATAAAAAAATATTTTCTCTTTATCCTCTCAATAGCTTTCATTGTCCCGCTGGCTTTATTACAACTGATAAATAGGTTTCTAGGCCGCACCCCGGCGAGGCACAAAGCATGCCAAGAGTAATCTATTATACTCTTTATTTTCCCAAAATATTTTTTTCGGTTAGCTTAAAAAACATGTTTGCGAAAATATTATTGATTGTGATCACTCATTTTTCTGGCTTTTCCCCAATAATGTTTTTGTGTTAGGTTATTTTCAAAGTCAAATGTTCTTTAGGACTTTAAACTGTCAAACACCAAGCGGTCACCGGTGACCGCAACCTATTGTTCTATAATTGTGTCTATAATGACGGTACTCGACGAGTTAATTCTTTCCTTTGCCTTTACCAAACGCCACTTTAGCGCTTGCCTACCGAGAGAGAAGAAAACTAAATTTATGTGGATGACATTGACAAGTGTTATTTACGTCAATTCCATATAATTTGGGTTTCTATTCTACATGTAGACAAGCCCTAAATGGCATTTGACTACAGCTGCTAGTTACAACATCACTGAAAAGTGAGGTTTCAATTATATACCTTAGCTTGTGGTTTGTACCTACTCAATACGAGTGTCTAAGACTTCTAGGAAAGACTTTCTAGAAGGCAGCAAAGATAGATTTATCGCCAATCATGTGTGTACCGGACCTGCGGACGGCGAGCATGGGTGGCTCGCCGACCGATTAGAACCAGACCCGAGCGTACGGTGCGTCGCGTTCCGCGCGCGCCTCAAAAAACCATCAGACCACCACGGATGGGGCCCAATAGGGCTGATGCCGATACGGAGCCGCGGAGAACTTAACGGCTTACCGGGACTCCGGTTCGAAGTGCAGGAGTAGGAACAGGGTAGTTTTTAGTCAGTAAGAGTCTGACACTTCCTCCCGCCTCCCCCAGGCGGAAAAAGTCAATCGATGATTTTCCCCCGTAAAAAAGTCATGTGTATACAACATACATACATACTGCTTCCAATTACTGCTACCATTGAGTATTCCCTAGTATTTTTTTCTTAAATTAAAACGTTGTCCCACCCTAGGACCGTCTCCATGTCCTGGGTGCGTTTACAAACATACAAATTCACATACACTTGATACCCAGACCCTTATTCATATTTTACATTATAATATAATTCCGTCATTCACTGCAGTTTTTTTGTGAAGAAGTTAAATAAATAAATACATAGTTCCGTCCTAGAACTTTCAGTCCTTTAACTAACTAAACAAATAATAAAAAATCATTTCCATTTTTATATGGAATAGGACAGCAAACGAGCAGACGGACCACGTGATGGTAAGCAATCATCGTCGCCCATGGACTCCCGAAACACCAGAGGAGGCACAGGTCGTTGCTTTCCATATTTTCCATTTTAACTTAAAAAACACAATTTGCTCAATGGGCACTCACAAACAACCATACACATACATATATAAAGAAAAAAGGTTTTCTTTAATTTTGGATCGATAACTAGAGGTATAAATTGTCAAATAGTCTGTGATTTGTTTAAACGTCGTCAGTACAAGAATTTTGTGTTATAGAATTTGTGGAAGAATAAACATTAAATGTCTTTCTTCATTTTATGAAGAAACACATTAGTTTTATTTAATTCATAAGATTAAGTCTTATACATAATTAAAAACATTAGCCAACAGTAGCATTCCAAAGTAGCCGCACCATCAAACTTAGAAGTCACATAAGCACGGCCCTTGTAATAACCATAAAATAACATAACATTAAGTACCTAAGCACTGAGTATTAACTTGCACTTAAGTAATTAAGCGGCCATCATTGGCTATTATAGCCCACTGTAGTCTACTATATACATAGAGAACAAAACAGTATTGTTTCAAATATTTAATACTGCTTACTTCAACTTGACTTTACGTAGTTTAATCTCGTTTAGTGGTAGACAGAGGCATAGACAGGGTTTTGGTTCATGAATCCATAAATCTTTTCCATGGATTTGGTAGGTCCTTAGCTACCTTTAACCCGCAAACTATTTATCCTCACTGTCACTTTAGGTCATATATGACTGATTAAAAATTTTCCTTAATGTTTCGAGATAAAGAAAACATTTTGGAAAACACTGTGTATAGTACGTTTACGCAGAACTCTCACAAATATTCACAGAGCTACAAAATGAAGTTCATCTAACACTGAACGAAAATAAATAAAATATACATATAAATTTGTCGAAAAAACAAGCAATATTAATATGGTTCTTCGGAAAATATAACCAAAAGAGGTTTCCAAACTAATGTTAGGGTAGACATAAACACTGTACAATACGCACAAATGACAAATGACAATACCTCTACCATCAATTGGTGAAATTCCACATGTTGTGTTTCGTTTCGGAATCAAAGCGAACGAATTATTTGAAAGGAAAATAAGAACAATCAAAGTGGCATTTAGTTTGGACAAAGATTTCTGGTTTCCTACAAAATATGTGACAAATTGCGTTAAATTATTTGGACGAAAATGTTAGTAAGAGAAAGTTGGAAGATTTCATTCCGAAATTCAATGCGAAATATCGCAAATATTTGGAAGGTACAACTGGACGACTGAGCTTACGTCACGGCGACTATCGACCGAGCAATATTCTGGTGAAAGAAATTGTAAGTACCTATATGTAATAGAACTTTCATTTTACAGAGTGTGTTATTTGTTGTAGTGGAATATGGTATATTAGATTCCATTGGTCTAATAATTGCATTGTGTATTAATGCTCACGATTTCGTATTACTAGCATAAATAGTTGTTAAATAGTGTCGTTATCTTTAACATCATTAAACATTAACCCTTTAAATTAGTAGTAGGAACGGGATGATTTTTAGTAAGATTCTGACATTCCCTATCGCTGCACCCAAGATGGAAGAAGTCATTGGGTGATTTCAACACCAGTCAGGTATTAGAGCCTGGAATGGACTGGCCTTTTACTACGCCCCCTATTACATAACATAACATAACATAACGTCACGCCTTTTTATCCCCGAAGGGGTAGGCAGAGGTGCACATTTCGGCACTTAATGCCACTGTAGGTACAATG